CTAAATAAAAGCCATAGAAAACTTACAATTGTTAATAGAACAGATATCAGCTATTTCATAAAGTTAATTTTCAATGAATATAATGAGGAAAAATTAAAGTTTTTACAATGTCTCAATAAATTATTTTCAATATTGGAAAGTGTTAAAAAAGGTAAGTTTATTAAAAATAGGTAGTGTCATGTTTATTTTTAAAAAAGTGTATGCATGCATGTTTTCTTCACATCTGTCCAAGTGTTATGTACCTCTAAAATCATGCATACTTTCAACACATGAAGAAAAAAAAAAAAAAAACTCATTTTAAAAATTTACCAAAAATTAAAAATTTTCATTAAAAATCTTGAAATATTAATTGAAGTTTTCAGCATTTATTCAGTAATGAATGAACCTTATATTGAATCATTTTTTTTTTTATTTTTTAGTTTTGCAGAAGTATTTTTTATGTCAGTTATACCCCACCTTTATTTAACTCATGGCTAATCTATACAAGAAAATTTGGGATATTCTTAATTTTTACATGTTTTATATCAACTATGAACAGAACATTGAAGATATGGTCTGAAATCAGAAGAAAAGAATTCATGAAAACGTAAAAATTATTTTTTCTGGAGAGTTGCTGATACCTAATTTTAATAAAATATACTGTATATTTTTGGTTTTCACAAGTATTTTTTTTTCTTGTGGAAACCCAAAATATACCCGGATGTAAAAATTTGTTTGTGAAAAAGTGTCGTATTTTTACAGTACAATTTTAAAACTCTTTCAGATCCGAGTTATTGCTGCTAAATACAATATAAAATAAAGGTGTTTGAAGAATCAAAAAATGAAAAGTTTAATGCCATTAAAATAAAAAATAAAATAATTTTATTTATATTTTTCATTTTACAGCTGTTTGATATTTTTTATCCTACAGAAAATGAAAATAAAAAAAAAAATAAAAAAATTCTGAATTAAGTCCCTTGACATAAAATTAATGTTCTTTTCAGGGTCAGTAAAATTTATTGAAAGTTTTGACTAATCTACTCATGCTGATAGTATTTTTGTTGGTTTAATAACATTTTTGTCATTATAATAATGTTAGAAATACAATAAAGATAAACAAATCACTTAGTTAATGGATTGTGACCTCAAATACAATTCCACAAGTTTTCTAATAGGGCTTGTATTTTTTTAGATTTATGGTGGTAATCTTTCTAAGTAGGAGCAAAGTTTTATGATAACAGTTGTTTGATCTTTGAATGTGAGGAGATACCCTACTGGGGAAAATGTGTATTTTATATTTTTCAAAAAGTATATACTATTTTTACAAAATCTAATTAATTAATCCTTTTGTTTACTATTTGCCTTTTAAACAAATGTCTGGAACAGATATTGATTTTTTAAAGTGTTTTAATTTCTCTTTTATCAGTATCCATCAAATTCATGAAACAAGAAGAAGTGAGTTTGTTTTTACTTTTTTGTTTTCAGTCAGTTATGTGTTATACTTGATGCATGCTTAGGCGATCATGTATCGAAAGATACATGACTGACAAGGCAGATTTTTTCCCCATAGTAGGTTGCCATCCAAGGCTATAGAACCTGGATTGTCCTGTTATTTACCCATAGCTGGGCAGAGAAGAAAAGGATTCATACCTTTCCCAAGGGTATTAGCATGTAAGTGAATGTGATGGATTTGACTGGAATTTGAACTTGGCTCTCTGATTCCTTAATCCAAGCCACTATCCCTCACTCCACCACTGAACAAGCAGCCAGTGCTAATTTCAGTTGAAATTTATAAAATCTTTCTCTTAAAATTATTTTCAAGAAAAGAAATTTCTTAAGTTCATTAATTTCTCTTTCTAGTATTGGTGGGGGGTGGGGGTTTTCCTTTTTAACCTTTTAGTTGAAATAGTGTGGAATGTCAACCTATTAGGTCTTTATTATTAGTTCAAGAACCTGACAGTTTTTCTTTTCATTTTTGCTTACAAGCAAAAATGAAAGCCTAGAAAACTTTGTAGCTTTAAAGTAGGTATCTCCAAAATCATGCACAATTTCAAAAAAAAAAAAAAAAAAAAAAAAAAAGGGTGATAAAAAAAAAAAAATTTACCAAAAATCAGGGAATTGGTAGATTTCATTGAAATTTCCAGCATTTTATTCATTAATGAATGAACTTTATATTGAATACTTTTAAAGTTTAGTGGAAGTATTTTTGAGAGGTCAGTTATACCACTCTTTACTTAGCCTGCAGTTAATATGTACAATAGTGAATTTTGGATGTTCCTAATTTTTAAAAAAGCTAAATCCCCCAAGATGTTACATCATCAATAAGTAATATTAGATATTGTAATATAAGAACTACTTTAAGTAGAAGCTTATGAAGCTTTATTCAACTAATTCAACTTTAGTGCTAAAATATTTATTTTATTGTAATGGATGGTTACAAGCAAGAGGAGAGATGCTATGTGGTTATTTGATTACCACAAGTATGAAAACATCAAAAATATCATCTGAACACTTAAGAAAAGAATTCAAAAATCAAAATTGATTTTTTATGGAGATTTGCTGATACTTAATTTTAATAAAATTTATTGTACATTTTTTTTGTTTCAATAGAAAGAAACTCACTGATGTATATTTGTTTGTAAACAATTGACATATTTTTAGGGTTTAAAATCTTGGTTGTTGCTGATAAAGTTTATATAAAATATAAATGTGTTTGCAGAGCTGAAAAATGTAATGTCATTTTTGAGTGTGAACATTTAAATAATTTTGCTATTTTTATTCTACAAATGATCAAAGAGTAAAATTTTGATTTATATCCCTTGGTATAAAAAAAGAATGATCCTTTTCAGGGTCATTGGAAATTATTGAAAGCTTTTTATTTTAACTAATCTATTATTTTTTTAACTATATATTCTGTTTGATGGTGTTTCTAAATGCCATTATAAATACAGTAAAGATAAAGAAATCATTTGATTAAAGTGTTGTAAGTGACCTGAAAAATATTTCCAAAGTTTTATAATTGATAGGCCTCCATATATTTTTGCTTTGTGGCGCGAATTTTTGGAATTCGGCCACAGAGTTGTAAACGTGTTGACATGTCAGTGCATACAAATGTAATAGTAATTTTTTTATCATTTTTGCTAAAATGTAATATTTTTACAAAATCTAATTATTCCTTAAATTCACTATTTTTATCCGAAACAAATGTTTAGAAGAGATATTGGATATTTTAAATATTTTTTTAATTTCCCTTTTGAACTCGGCGGAAGTGAGTTTGTTTTTGACTTTTTTAAAAATTCTGCAGCTAAAATCTTTAAGGACGTCGTAAAATTTTTTTGTTATGTATTGAGCTTAGGTTTCTTTTAAATAAAACCACAATTTAACTACAAAGAAGCCGTTTAAATTATTTCAAATGCGTTTTAACTCCGTGGAAGTAAAAACAGTTAAAAAAAAAAAAAATACTTTTTACCCTTCCTCAGGCCATGTATTGTAACAAGAACATAAAATTATCGAGAAAAAAATAAAGTATCTTTTTAGTCATTTAGTATATAAAAAGAAAAGAAAAAAAGTACAATGCTTTTTATAAATTACTTTCTTCCAGTTCCAGTGGTTGACTTAGTCTTAAAAATCATACTTCGTTGAGAATAATTTAAAATTTTAAATCTTCCTTAGACATTACCTACTTTGAAATAGAATTGATGAACTACGGTACACGTTAAAACATTCGTTAACTAAATAAAACAGTGATTTTTGAGTGGATTTTTATTTTAACTCAGAAGAAAAAAAAATATGGATGTTTCACCATTTTTAACGGAAGACAAACGGTAAATTATTGTAAAAATGTACTCCGACAACGATTCACTATTCAGGTAATTTTAAAAAAAAAAAAAAAAAAAAAAAAAAATTAATTTAAATTTTTTGAGTTTTTTTTTTTTTTCTTTTACAACGTAATCCAATTTTCAAAATTGCTTTGGTATTTTGATTCTGTAAAGTAAAGAAACTAAAAACATGAGAAATTCTCGATTTGCTTTCCTTTCTCTGAATAATAATGAGCCACATGCCACCATTTACTACTTACAATTTACAACTCGCAAAAGGACAAAAACATTTGTTTTATTTTTAAATAAAAGTAAAAGTTACACAAAAATAAGATTTGTCATATTTTTCTTTCGGAGATAAACAGTAATTGTAAACAGGTTGTTTTGAGAAGTTCAATGCTCACACACACAAAAAGAGAGGTGTCATTTATTTACTTTTTGGGGTGAGGTAAAGTTATTTTCAAACCGGAAAAAACAAAATCGAGGCGTTTTTTTTTTTTTTGCATACCCAACCAAGTACAAAGTTAATTTTAAGATGCAAATCAAAATATGGATTTCCAGGTGTTCAATTTAATTTAAAAATGCAAATTTTGATGCACGGAAGTAAAGTAGTAAATTGTGTATGTTGAATGATTACAAAAATTAGTTTACCTTAAAAGAAAAGAAAAAAAAAAGATGTATTTAAAATGCTTCGAACAAAATAATTGTTTTTTTGTCATGAACATTACTCACAAATAAGTTTATTTTTATTTAGTTTTTTTACTTGTTTAATTCTTCACACAAGTAGCAATTTAAAAAAAAAGAAGATAAAACCAATTTTATTAAATAAAAATAAAATGTCTTATTTAATTTATTATTTTTAATAATGCCATGCAACAAACAGCATTAGAAAATGGAAATTAATGTGATAAGTTAAGCACAAGGTGAAAAAAAAAAAATATTGAAAACTAGTGTAAAAACTTTATTTAAAATTAAAATTAATTGAAACAAAACAAAATTTTCGTATATTTGTCATAAAAAGTTTAAAAATAAAAAAATATCGTATGTATTTTAGTTAAATTCTTGTTTTCAACATTGATGAAAATAAAATTTTTTGCAACTTGGTTGGGGTGAACAGATTATCGATTTTATTTCAAATCAGAAAAATTTTGGTTAAATTTGCGATATTTTAATTAAAATGAAAATCGTTAGAAACTGCCTTACCTGCTTTTTTGGTAACAAAACTTGACGCTCCTCTTCCACAACTGATTCCTGACCATTAAACTAATATTAAACATTCTGTCAAAGTGGACGTGAATCTCTGAGCTGCAAAGACAGTCTATGGAAAATTTCAGATGGTTTTATGTTTTCTTTCTCTAAAAAATTAATGGCACAACTATGTTCAGCAGCACATGTATTGACGATTCACCGAATGCGCTGCCATTTGTCAAGGACGCGTTGGATTATGACGTCACAACTAGTGATTTTTACATTGTGATTTTACCCTACTGCAGTTAATTTAATATTTTTTTATGCTGAAATATTTTTCATTCTTGCTTGAATTTTAATAATATGCAATAAAAATAGTCTTATTAAAATAAATTACTGAGAACTACTTATCCAGATCAAAATGATTAACATTCATTAATTAATGTTTGAAATCATTGTGTAAGTAAATGTTACTTCTGAATAACATTTTAAATATTTCAGTTTTGAATGATTTTACTTTTTTAACAATGCATTTATAATTTTTTAAGAATATACATAAAAAGAATATACATAAGAACATGGAAGATATTCCATATGCCAAAGCAAATTGGTAGCATTGAGTTTTTACTGCCACAGACTTTCTAAAATAAAACTGAAAACACATTTTTAAATGCTTTATTTGAACTTAAATTTTGGTTCTATTTGAAAGAATGGTCTACTAAAGGCTTTAGTCTAACTAAAACTAAAGCTAATCGATATGTTTCATAGGACACCATTTACGTAGGAAAAGCTGGTCACATGAGGTAGGGGTTGTGGGCAGATCAAATTAGCATGGACTACTGTGAAGAAGGACATGCCAACTCGTGTGGTTGAGTGTCGGTGACCACAGGTGATACTGAGCATGAAACATGGTGGTTACAGTACACTAAGTCAGTGACGACTGAACAATGAAAGGGTAAATATAACAGTACAAGAGAAACAGATTAAGTGTTAATATTAGTGTTCTTGTTTTGATATTGTAAAAATTCCAACCATGTGGCTCTAAGAAAAGATGGCTGACATGGCTAGAAACAAACTACATGCTCAGCGGCCAGTAGCAAGCATAAGTTACTGTGTTTGAATGGCATTTTAGCTGAAAATGAGAAATTGTTCAAGCAGAAGTGGCATAACTATACAGTTATCACATATTTGCATGGCCAACAATGACAGTACCAAACTGCGTTACTTTTACACACATGACGCGTTAAAGGTTTATAATGGTTTTCATTTTCCAACCCCCAATGAACATTGGACACCCGAAAAAATTCTTGAAGCATTCGACAGGTATGCAGTTGGTGAAGCTAATGTCATGGACAAACACTGTTTCACACAGGAAAACAAGAAGAGGCTGTGTGCATAGAAGCTTTTGTGGATGCTAATAAAAACGTGACTTTTGTGACAACTGCATGGCATCAATACTACATGACCAAATTGTTTTGGGTATACAGAACCCCCAAACAAAAGCATAACTGCTAAAAGTTAGAGTTGCATAGGTGCATTGACATCTGCAAACTAATGGAGAATGCTGCTCAACCAGAAAAAGTGCACAGGGTCGGTACAAAGAAGCAGAAGAGTCTGTGGAGAAAAGCAAAACTCAGAAAAGAATGCCAGTTCTGTACTTCTTCCCAAGAAACAGGAAGGAATAATGTCCAGCTTATGGAAAAACATGTCTGAAATGCCAAAGCAAGAATCACTTCATGGCAAAATGCAAGTCAGTGAAGAAATGGGTTCAGACAGTACACACACAGCAAATGAATGAAGATACTTTGCAGTAGTCAGTCAGACTTTGAGCACATGGATATGGTCACGATTGAGGGGAAAGCTGGCAGTCATACACATGGGACAATTTTAGTTAAAATGGTGGTGAACGAGGAGATAATTGTATTTCAGCTTGATAGCAGAGCTTCAGTGAACTTGTTAAGTGCCAAACACGTTCATGAGAGAAGTCTGAAGCCCTCTGACAAGACCCAGGACATGTGGAATGGGACAGAAATGGAACTACTGAGTGAGTGGTGTTTAAAATTTGACAAGCCCCAAAAATGGAAAGAAGTATGCAGTGAATTTTGTGATTGTGAGAGATGACTTGCATCCACTCCTAGGTGCAACAATCATACAAGAATTGGGTCTGGTTAGCATGAACAAAGAGGAGTTTCAGATGGGGGCTAGAGTCTGAAAGGAAAAGAGCGAATATACAAAAACTGGATACAAGGTCATACCACATTAACACCAATGGGGAGCTACGCCGACAAACCCAGGTTGACTTGAAGGAAATAGCATAGACACCCCAAGTCTATCTGTAGGGATTCAGTTAGACCAACTTCAAGGTGATCACATAGACGCTACTTTGGAAAATCAGCCCAAAGCAGCAAATTGTTTCATGGGACACCATTTATATAGTCTCCTGGGATGTGGGGTTGTAGAGAGTTCAAATTAGCACAGACTACTGTGAAGACAGACATGTCAACTCATGTGATCGAGTGTTGGTGTCCAAAAAGTGATATTGATCATGGAACACTGTATGAAAAGAAAAATTAATTTCCCTGTATAAATAAACTTTTGAGGCATTTTTAAAGCATTAGTACTTCTTTTGTCACTCATCGACTCAGCATGCCATCATTGCATATGTAAAATGTAAACAACAAATTTAAAATTCTCTTTTGAAGTCTCTTAGCGAGTAAGGATGTGGGGAAAAAGAAAGTCACTTACCAAGAAAAAGGGCACATGTGTTCTGTATGAAGACAAAATAGCCAAAATAGAAACAAGTCAATTACAGGTGTTACCATAAATGTATCTCAGATATGCTAAAATTGTGTGTCCTTTCTCACCTGTTGACCAATGAAAAAATTGTTCTGTCGATAAAATCGGTTGGTGTTCTCAAATTGGGAAGTCGTTTATTTTTCTTACCTCGTCGATCAGCTTGTATGTTAGATTTCTGACCATTTACATGTATTGGGATTTGTGACATCGGACCTACGATTTGTGATTTTGATATTTCTTTCTGACCCTGGATCTTTGAATTTGGACTTGTGATTTGTTTATTTCATTGTGGAATTGAGCTGTCATATCAATTTGGTGACATGACAGATGGCAAATTCGATCTAAAATTGAGAAAGTTGAACTGGTATATGACCTCCGTGGTGTGAAGCGACTCGAAACCATCATTCCCTTTCGACTGACTGATGGGGCATTTGCAGTGTATCACAATTGAACAAGGAAGAGAGAGTGAATACAGCATAAATTAAGGACCTGGTATACAACACTTTTGCTGCAGACAGTTTCTCTGCATACCAGCAGTTCGAAGCTCGGAAACTGTAGACATTTACTTGGCTGATTTGAGTAAGTTGGCAATACTGTTCAGAGGAATGCCTGACTGTGCAATGATGTGCATGTTTTTCCGTGGACTCCCTGCCTCCATATGATGATATTCAGTCAGCCTCCAAGATGGACTCGTTGCTGCTTGAGGAGTTACTGGCCTCGGCCTGGGCACTAATGAAGAAAGAGTTGGAAGAGGAACTGGTGGTAGCAGCTACAAGGCCCACCCAAAGTAAATATTTTCTCCCAATTGTAGGCCCTTCTGCAAGAATTGAGTACTACAGATGTAATAGCCCAAACCACCTGGTGAGGGACTGCCTCCAGAAGAGGCAAGCGAATAGGGCATGTTGTTGCTGCTACCATAGGTGCCAAGAGTCAGGGCACCTGTCACAAGATTGTCTGGAAAACAGGTCAAGAGGGCTATCTCTCAGCCCAGCCTCGTCTCCCTCCAGGATGTTAATCCAGTGCTACCAGTTGTCATGCCTCTCCTATCTGACTATGTCAGTGCCTGTCTCTTTTCCCTGCAAGTCATGAAAGAGATGCTCCCCGTAATTGACGTATGCATTGATGGGGTGAAACATACCACCCTCGTGGATACAGGTTGTTCACCTTCACTTATGAACATATCTAATTGTAGTTCATGCAAAAGACAAGAGGTGGACGTGCTGATGGCTGACAGAAAGGTCCTCAGAGGTCAAGGAGTCACAAGCATGGAAGTCCACATAGACAATTGTGACCCTATCAATATAGATGTTCTAGTCATGGAGAGTGAATTGTTAGGATTCAAATTCCATTTCATGATGGATGTCATTGAGAAGTTGAGTGGTGTTCACATTAAAAAATATATATGAAGTAAGGTTTATTAATCCCCATATGTGTGCAGCCACGACTGTAAATCAGCCCGGCTTTACCGCAAAATTCAAATACCAGGATCTGGACAGCATCATGAAAGTGGTCAGATGGCCACCCACCAGAATATCTGTAAAACCAGGTATCTGAGTAATGTGTGTCTAAGCAGGCAAGGAGTAAATATCAGTGTGAACTACAGGCATAGATAGACAATGGGTGCTTACCCTGAAAAAGAACTCTGTCCCCCAAGTGGCCTGATCCTATTAATGGTGGTGATTCAAAAGAATAAAAGAAAGATCCACTTGGATTACCACAAGCTAAACAAACATGTTGACACATACACAACTCATGCAGATATTTGTGTTGAAAAATTGAGAGAATGGTAGAGAAAAGGACAAAACGTTTCCATGCTTGATCTTCGCAAGGCATACCTACCAATATGTGTGCATCAATCACTGTGGTCATTTCAAGCCATCATTTACAAGGTGCAGACATACTGCCAGACAAGAATGGGATTTGGGCTCAATATGGCACTGGCTATCATGAAAGCCATTGTGGATACTATGCTGACAAAAGATAAGCCCTTTCTCCAGGTCACTTCAGCTTATATTGATGACATCTATATCAATGAAGACATGATATTTCCAATAGGCATAAGATAACATTTTGCTGATTTTGGATTGACGTAAAACGACCCAGAACGATTGGGGGTCAATACATCAGTGATCGGTTTGCAAGGTTGGTGGGAGCAGAACACCTTGTACTGGAAGTGGGGGAGTGAAGCACCAAAAGGACCCAAAGTTTTGTGAAAAATAAATGCGGATGTGTGCATGTAGAAGCTTAGAGAATAGTGACAAGGAGCCGATGTATTGCTCTTGGACCTAAGAAAGGCATACTTCCAAATCCACATTGATAAGGTGTTATGGCCCTTTCAGACTGTGGTTTCCAAGGGTCAGTGATTTTGTCTTACAAAAATTGGGTTTTGTATTAAATTTGGCATCACCCATCATGAGAGCTGTCATCAACACAGTGATGAATCAAGATCAGGTGATTAAGAGTGTCACATCGACATATATCGATGACATTTTCATCAATGAAAAACTGGTTTCTGCAGTATACATGCAGCAGCACTTATCTGATTATGGTCTTGTCTGTAAGGATCCAGAGTGATTGGAAGACAGAGCCCAAGTCCTGGGTCTGCAGGTCTGGGGGGAGAATGGAATCCTTTGATGGAAGCAGAGAGGTGAAATCCCAGACGTTCCAATGGATCATCATCCGTAGGAGCATCTTTTCCCTGTGAAGGAAACTTATGGGATGTTTCCCTGTGTGTGTGAATGGCTCAGAGTGGCGAATGCATTCATAAAGCAGCAGGTGGGCACAATGATCAACAGATGGGATGATGAAGTCAAGGATGTCTTCCTCTGTTGCATGCTAATGGAAACAGTTGCCAAAGTACACAAGATGCATCCTGTGAAAGGAGACTAGTGCGTGGATGGTAGTGAGATGAAGGTTCAGGTAGATGCAAGTTCTGTGGCCACAGTACTAGAAGTGGGAGCATTGTGGAAGATGCTTGTTGGTTGCGTCCAAATGAAGATGCCAAGCATATCAATCTGGCTGAACTTGATGCAGCAATAAAAAGCATAAATCTAGCTCTTCAATGGCAGGTGGCAGTGTTACATTTGGTTATGGATTCGGCATGTGTG